TTTCTTTTCTTTTCTTTTCTTTTCTTTTCTTTTCTTTTCTTTTCTTTCTTCCTTTTATTTTTGTTTCTTCCTTCTCATGGTTTCTCCCATTGGTTCTTATTCTTTTTTACAAACATGACTAACGTGAAAATAGGTTCAATATGAATGTATATGTAGAGCCTATATCAAATTGCATGCCATCTTGGGGTGGGGGGAGGGAAGAGATAGGAAGACAATTTGGAACTAAAAATCTTATGGAAGTGAATGTTGAAAACTAAAAATAAATAAATTAAGATATTGTGTGTGTGTGTGTGTGTGTGTGTGTGTGTAAAAATTCAGTGAAGAATCCTTTTAGCACCGGGGAATTCAGTGTGATTTTATTTCTGAAAATAGGTCAGCTACTTAGGGGTGATTATTTTGCCATTAGATTTCCTTTAACTATTATACATATTAGTTCCAATAACTTATTATTTATTTCTTTAGCATATTGAAGAATAGGATGCTTTGATTCTATTGTCAGTATTTGAATTTTTTCTTACTTTCAGTAAACCCTCTAAGGTTACCTTATACCTACTTTGTGTGTGCATATGTGCATATATGTAGTGTAAACATACATAGATATGTGTGTATATGCACATATGTACATGTTACACCCCATTAGAATGTAAACCCTTTGAAGTCAGGGACTATTTGTCTTTTATCTCTTGATTCCTTGACACTTAGTAGAATGCCTCGCATGTAGTAGATACCTCTAATAAATGATTGAAAGACTAATGACATAATTAATCTGTTTTTTCTCTCTCTTAACCATTGTTAGATGTGAGTGGTACTGTCTTTTTCACTTTTAATAAAGTCCTCCTATTATCCATTTCGAGACAACTGTGTGGCTAGTGCTGTGCCTAGAATTAGCAAGACTCATCTTCCTGAGTTCAAATCTGACTTCAGACAAATGTCTGAGCTATGTGAACCTGGGCAAGTCACTTAATGCTGTTTGCTTCAGTTTACTCCTCTGTGAAATGAAGGAAATGGCCAGTCATTCCAGTATATTTGCAAGAAGACCTCAAATGGATTCACAAAGAGTTGGGCATGACTGAAAATGACTGAACAACATTGTCCATTTCAGTAAATATGTGCTCAGCTTTAAGGCGAATTAAAAAAAACAAAGTGTAAAATATGTCTTCTGACGTTGTTGTTCATCCTTCTTGTTGAAGAGGACCAGTGACATCACAATTTGAATTTAAGTGAGGCAGAGCTGTGCAAAGTCAGCCTCACTCTTTCTCCAGTCATCTAAGTCCAGTGGCAAGGACAAAAGTCAAGATGCAGTGGCCTTTCTAAATTAAGGTCTTTCCCAGGTCTCATATTGTCTGAGGCATCATCAGTTCAATGACTAAGGAATAGGTAAGAATTGAGACAAAAGATGACCTAATTTATCATCACAAAAGTATCAGTCTGGGAGGGGTAGACCTTCTGAGTTTCTGGGCTGAATAGAAAATAATTGCTATTCTAAGTTATTAAAGTTATTAAAAAAACCTAAACAATGAGCCACTGAGACTTGGGCTGGGGGCTATTATTGGCCATTCTATGAGAGCCAGAGTGATTTGTGTTTAAAAGGTAGTCAGGTAGTTCCATTTAAAACACAACTTTTTAAAAGCCTGTTTTTTCAGAGCTACATTTCAAGAAATCATAAATGAAAACTGCATGGGACAAAAAGTAAATTGTCCCAGCTTTTGGGGGGAGGGAGAATAACATATAAATAAATGGGAAAGAAAGAAAGAAAATTTTGAAATGAAGAAATCTAGCCCTCAGGCCTCAAAATATCTCACAGGAGATAAGTGACCAAAAATGTGTTCCTGTGGACAGACCATCCACATGTAAGGATATGATGCCTGAAGTGGAGAGAGGGGAGGAAAAGGAGGAGGAGGAAGGGAAAGATTAGGAAGAATAGGAGAAAGAGGAGGAGGGAGATGACTGATGGGGAGAGGAAGGAGGAGAAGGGGGGGAGATGAGGAAAAA